GGACTCCCACATAGTTGCCTCACACGACTTCCGAACGAAATCCTTCCCTGGAACTAGTTGCCACTAGTTATCATGCCACTGCGGCTCTAACAACCTCCTGATCCAACCGATCAGATCCATGTGTCGAATCCTGTCGTTACCAAATCCACGACTAAAAGTGATTGCTACATGACCAATGGTAGCCTTACATCACAAACAACCTTAAGCAATCCATTGCTTCCTTGATCTCATAACTGTAGTGACGTTCCTACAGTCTTATCACTGGCTTAACCAAGTCTAATCCCTCTGGGGAAACCCATAAACCAATCCGTGGATTTTCATATCCTCACTGCTACACCCGAACTGGTGGGTACCATTGTCCCTTCCGCGTTCTAACAACGCGCTCATGCTATCTACCAACCTAGTGAATGTTACGGCTACACCCACAGACTTACATCACTCTAGCACTATCTGCTAACCTAGTGAATGCTACGGCTACCCCCGCAGTCTTACAACACTTCCCATACTAACTGATCGCTAGTGAATGCTACGGCTACCCCCGCAGTCTTACAACACTTTCCATACTGGTCGAACACGCACTTGACCTAACACATAACTGAACTTAATTCATGGTTAGAATCCCAACCTGATTTCCCCAAGTTCTGCTATCAAGCACCGAGAAGACGCGATTCACATGTTGGGGAGTTTTACCGAACTCCCAACTCACACAACACTCAAACCAAGCAGCCAGTAGGTTGTCTTCCTTCCCGAAAACGATGCGTAACTAATCCTAGTTTCAAAACTGATCCTGCTTCTGCATTCCAGAACGATTCTCCCCCACTTAGATTCAACTAAGTCTTCACAATACATGAAAATTTGAGAATTCCCAATCCTTCTCACTTTCCAACGGTCGATCTAATGACAACCGGACCTTTCCAACTAGTACTCCTTTACTAGCCAATCACAAGTGATCACACACTTCTAAGAACTAGTTGAACACTTCCTAAATCCCAGTGATACCGACAGCCCCTACTACTTGAATGATCCCCCACTCAAATCCTTAAGTCCAAAAGGTAGATGCTCCAACTAACATCTCAGTAACGAGTTACTTCCCTTGGCGCTTCCCTCCGCCAATCAATAGGGGTTACTGAACTACTGTACCCTAACAACACTGAATAAACATCCTGTGGGACCCTGTCCACAGACCTCCCATATAATACCCTTTTTCCCAAAGTGTTCCAACAATCCTCCCGTTCTCATTTCTAAAAATCATATCATTCAGGGCCTTGCACCCTGACTCACTCACCAACTCAATCATCCACAGCTGAACTATAGTAGCTGAAACAACCTTTGACCTAAACCGGGCAACAACTACTCCCATGATATAATCTCTAATCCCAAAAGTGCAATAAATTGCACAATAAATCCTTACCGTCTGATACAAGAGATCCAAGGCGAAACGGATCTTACTCCTATGGGTAGAGACGGTAATCGCGTGCGCCTCACAAGGTACTCATGCCACATCGACCCATCTGTACTCACCAGCACTAAAATATTTTCGCCCACACCTGCAACTAGTTGACCCCGAGCTGGAATACAACCTCATCCTAGGGTCCCAAGTCTGCTCACTCCTTCGAGCTCGAAAACTGAAAGGGCACAATCCTTGCCCTATAAAACGACAATCCAATCAATCAATTAACCATTCTACTTCCAGCTGCAAAACCCCAGCTAAACATAATCATCACTCCTTTCCGGAGTCCCTGCGACTCATATTCCGGCCTCGAGCAAAACCCCCGAAGCCTCAAATCTAAAAACCATGTGCCAGCATTTCCTGCTCCACCCGCTGAATGTAACGAGTATAGAACATCTCCTTGATCCCAAGTAACTGCAGCCTTCTTCTCATCAGAATATGTCCCAGTAACAAGTCCCGATACTGGAAATCTTGACCAGCTCCTCCCCCTACCATCGTTACAGCTGCTAAGCTGCTGCGGCAGCCGCCTCAGCAATGGCTGCATAGCGCTCGTCGAAATACTCAACCATGGCGGTCTTAACAGACCCAAACATCTCCGGTAACTGCCCCCGGACAAACTCGATCACCTCCCGGATGATCTCACTGACACAGTCCTCTGACAATGCTAGCCTATCCTGGCTGCCAGCTCCCGATCCTAACCTAGATCCGGTCTCAAAACGTCTCGCAACCACCATTCTGGTAAGACACCAGAAAGATCTCTGATAATCCATAATATGACAGGGGACCAACTCCCTACCCAACCCTAGGGGTTGTGACTTCCTTGCTACGCGTATGGGTCTTGTGCTTTCAGTAGTACGGGCCCATACTACCTTCCACACCTACCCATATTTGTCTCGAGTATCATCACAACGCCCTAACAATATACATAATCATAGCGAGCGCTCAATCCTCACTCCTAGAGGAATGCTAAATATCACATAACTGGCCTCCCAGCCTCTCACAACCCACCCATCCATCAAACTTCCACCAACCCTTCACCACTAGTGTATGCTAGCCATACATAACGCTGGACCCCATAGACTTTCGAATATCCAATCCTAACCTAAGCTCCCAATCAAACAAGAACAGAACATAAGGCCAAATCAAACATTCTCAGGCTATAAGATCTTAATTATGTATAACTGTGATGCATACACTAAGCAACTACAGTAATGATGTTAATCTCATGTAAGGAAAACCCTAGGCTAGCAGGCATCATGTAATCAGGCAATTCTATCATGCAATTCCTGAAGATCCCTAGCCTAGTACTAGCATGCTGTTCTAACATATCACAATATCAAATAACTGTATGGTATTTTGGGGTCTACTTACTGGCTCCGGCTGATCGTACACCCTGCATCCTCCTTTACTTATTTTGAAAACCATTTTAGAAATCATTTTGAATATCTTTCCTTGATTTGATACAAACTTGTAACATCCCAAAAATTCAATCCAATTTAAAACCATTAAGTTATTACAGTTTGTTTTCAAAATAGTTTAATCATCAGAGTATCCCCAGAATCAAATCATAAAATCATGAGATATGAGGATCTGTACGATCACGCCTTCGCCTTGCCAAGATATCTGAAGTACCTGAAACAATAAACTTAAACCGTAAGCACAAAGCTTAGTGAGTTCCCCTAAAATACCAACGGCATGCAAATATAACCATATCATATAACAAATACAGAACAACATGCATAATGAGCCTTCAGCCTGACTGAACCGCCTCGTAGGGCCTACAGGCTATCTGGACCGCTCCCGAGCCTTCGGCATGACTGGACCGCCTCGTAGGGCCTACAGCCTATCCGGAACGTTCTCGAGCCGTCGGCATGACTGGACCACCTCGCAGGGCCTACAGCCTATCCAGACCGCTCCCGAGCCTTCGGCATGACTGGACCCCCTCGCAGGGCCTACAGCCTATCCGGACCGCTCGTCGGGTATGTTGGCCTATAGCACAAAGCAGGACCGCCTCAACCCAACCCCCAATCAAACAAACATGTGCACATAAATATCATACGCTAGCTCATATCATATAACAGTCAAACCGATCTAACAGATCACTAATCATAACAACATCCCAATAACCGGAATATAGACCTAACTGGTCACTAACATAGCATCATCCTATAACCAGGACACTGACCTAACCAGGTCACTAAGCATAAGCATAACACCATCCTAACTACCAGGATGTAATCAATAAACATATCATGCCATAATCCAGATACAAATATATAAAGGGCCGACCTTGGTGCCTTAGACCCTGTTGATATAGTGAGGATAACTCACCTGGCAGTGCTGAAGTCCCGCGGATCTAACTCCGACTGCTGGTTGACAGATTCCCGAGCTGTCAACATCAAACAACACCCAATTAATAATTGGGTTCCAAGCCCACGGTTCAACTCACACTCCAAAGGCTCAATAGTCAGCCAATGGACTAAAGCCCAACATATGGCCCAATTTGGAGACCTCTATATGGTCTTTCCTTAAGGCCCATCCAATTATTCTAGCCCAAACTCTTAGTATTCCCATGGCCCGATATCACATAATTATAAAGGCCCAATTATGGCCCATCAATGGCCCAATTTTCCAAATTGGGCCCAAGACTCTCACATGGGCCTTATCCTAAAACCATCAACATATTCTAGTCCATATGATCATTCTTGGATGGCCCATTAATAATCCAATTACCAAAGCCCAATGGAAAGGCTCAACACAAAGCCCAAGTGAAATTAGGGTTTCTCATAAAATGACAAATAGGGTTAAGTGTTCCTACTTAACCTATTAAGGACTTAATCCATTAAGTCCCATATTGCTTTAGATTAATTTTCCAATGATTATTATTTAATATTTTAAGTTTATTAATTAGTTCCAATGCGGGTCCCGGTCATTCCCCAAAATTAGAGTTTCGAAGATGTTAGGGTTTTCTAAACCCTAATTAGGGTTTCCAACCCATCACTAGCCCATTAGCCAATTGGTTGGGCTTTTAGGTCACTTTGGGCCTCATTGGGCCCATTAGGGTTTCATTGGGCCCACTAGGGTTTCATAAGGCCCAATCTGTCCAAACACCCCAAACAAGTCAATACGCAAGCTAGGCACACCGCCACCCAACACGGCGGCTGGTGGCGACAGGAGGCGGCAGCCACCACCTCACGGTGGTGGTTTAGAGTTTTCTTACTATTCCGATCGATTACAAAGTTACAATGCGATATCCGAACATCCCCAAACACACACTAAGCTACACGCACTCATAAATAACACACACATAGCCATCTTATGGCGGCAGGCGGCTGAACATGGCGGCAGCTACCACCGTACGGTGGTGGCGGTGGTTTTTCTTCGGATCTGCGGACAAGGAACATTCCCGCGACCTTCTCCCATCACGGACACAACCCATACACGCACACACGCCCCTTTTGCCCGGAAAATAAACCCAACACCCACTGAGGTGGGTGGCGAAGGCGGCATCACAAGAAACAGACATCAACGACGACAGCTTCGCTATTCCATGGACTTAACCACCATTCCACGGTGGTATGCGGCGGCCGGAGGGCGTGAGCCTCCAAACGGTAGTAGTGAGGCAGCCATCGGGAGGGAAATGAAGATGGAAGAGGGTGGTTCGAACCCACCGAGTACAGCAGCAACAGCAGCGAAGAGGCGACAGTTTGCTGACCTCGTCGGCAGCTCCGTCATCAACAGCGACGGCGCCGCAGCGGCTGGTGGTAAGGACCCGACTATAGGAGGATCGTCCGTTAGTCCCCCGGTGGTCTTTAGTTCCTCCGGTCATAGAGGATATCGTCGTTGGTCTTGGTTGATCGGAACAGGCGATATGATGTGGTGGCGTCGGAGTTAAGAGATAGAAGAGGGGTGGTGACGGCTGGAGGGAGGTTGGAGGGAGAGTGGCGGCCGATACATGATATTAGGGTTAGGGTTAGGCTGCATGAGGGTTAGGAAGAATTTATATGAAGGCCAAATAGGGTGACGGGTTCACCCGTGTCCATCTTCAAGCATATATATATATATATATATATATATATATATATAATATATATATATATATATATATATATATATATATATATATTAAACATTTTGTCCCTCTCTATAAGAAAGCCTTTCCGTTTAAGTCCTAAAACTTACTCCTTTAGTCCCTGCCTTTTAAAATCTTTTCACAATAATAACACAAAGTTACCAATCATACCCTGGCTTCTGACAATCTTTACAATTAAGTCCGAATTTACCAAACAGCCCCTCCCTCTACAAATCCTTTTCAATTTAAATCCAAATGATACCAAATAGTCCCAGACTTCTAAAATCCTTTGCAAAATAAATCCTGAAATTATACTTTAACCCTCGAAGATTCAAATATCGTCATTTGGCTTTCCGAAACCAACACCCCGCTAATTATTATTTGATTTTGGCTATACAATAATAATAAAATTTCATCTCGGGGTTCCAGATTTATTATTTAATTATTTTATTTTAAACGGGATGTTACAAGTTGTCTTTACATTTTGGAGTGAATGTTGTGTTTCGTTTGCAGTCGCAGATTCTTTAGCGAGGCAGGAAAAACGGATGCAGTATATAAACATATGGTGGTAGATGGATTACGATTTCGTGGTTGGTCTGACCAGAAACATACAGTTGTCAACAAATGCATAGAGAGGAGAAACCCAAATATTTTGTTTAGGAATGGATTGGTACGTTGTTATATATGTGCATAGTATTAATTAATTTGTTTCTTGTTTTGCATTAATTTAACTAGAAATTATGTGTTTAATGTTTTTTTTCAGATGAAGTTATTTTTCTTAGAAGCTGATCATGAAGGGAAAACGATGCTTGAAGAAGCATCTGCATTGGAGAATTTGGATTCAACATTAGTCCTGGGAATGATGGTGATGGCTGAAGGGAGACATAGGAAGCATGAAGCTTTGGACATGTTGAACAATGCTTACCGCAGAGTAAAAGATAAGTGGAATCTTAGAGCAACTTGTTCTAAGGTTCATCTCAACTTAAATAGGGAGGGGAGGAAACATATACACTTGCATGGCTTCCATAGAACTTGTGCAATGCATAAGTCTGTAATTAGTGTGTCAAACGCTTTTGTGAATGGATACAAATTGGTGTTTAGGTGTGAAATTTGTTTGTGGGATGATTGTTTCGTTAGGTTTTCTAGGGAGTTTGGTATAATTTATAAGTAGTTTTTTGATATGTACTTTCATATTATGACAATTAATGCTATGTACACTCTTTTGGTTTAATATACGAATATATAGTAATTTACTTGATAAGTAATTACTTGATGTTGTTACTTGATTAGTAAATATGTTGTGTTGTTAATAAGGGACTAAAAGAGTAAAATTTTGGAATGATGTTTGAATAATTTTTGAATAATGTGTTTTGGACTTTCAATATTAGTGTTTATATTGTATTGTGATTATAGTTGTAAGTAACAAATGTTTGTTCTTTCCTAGTATTAAATACATATAAAATACAATTTTAAAGGCATAAACATACATGTATTTTATTTTGGATTTGGTAATTTGATTTAATATCAACTAGTGGAGAACCCATGCTTTGCATGGGGTAAAATTGTAAAGGCATAAACATAGGGACTAAAAGTGGCAACAAAGAAAAAGTATTGTGGCTAAAATCAAAGTAAAAAAAAAGTTACTATAAACATAGGGACTAAAAGTGGCAACAAAAGAAAACTATTGTGTCTAAAATCTAAAGTAAAAAAGTTTACTGTTAAAATCTTCTTTCACTTTTAATATATATTAATACATGAATATATACTATTAATTTGGTGAAATGTTAATATAAATGTATTACATTATGGATTATGATATACATGTTATTTTTGTCTTTTTCATTTCAACAATCAAAAGTCCACTGTTACTTAGCTATAAAAGGTTATAATATTTGAATAATATGTTTTGACACAAATACCCTTAGTATTCACATATTTGGAATGATTTCAAGGGCAATTTGGTCTTTTTGCACTCTAAACCGTTAAGGCGCCATCATACATCTAACGTCACGCCGGCGTTTCAGTTCTTCAACCATTCAGAACATCTCAACTTTTCCGGATGATAAATCTGCATACAAACACTAAAACCCCCAAATCGTCGAAGGATAATCGTTCTTAAAAACGATTTTCTCCGATAATAGAGACTCCTGTACTCCTCACGACCAGATCACCATAAAGTAAGTTTTTTTCCATACCCTGTTACACTGTCTTTCATAGTTACGCTTAATTTTTTAAAATAATTGAAATCAACTACGCCAATGTGTATTTTGTAAGTAGAATGTCGAATACTAGAAGTCGTCGTTCGTTAGATGATCTCCCACTAGAGATTTTGAGTCGAATATTTGTAGTATTAGGGGCAGAATCTGCGAAAGACATCGTCTCTGCAAGACTTTGGTAATTCTCAATAAACATCAACTAATGAATGTATATTTGATGAAATACAACTTTATTTATTTGTTATTTACTATGTATTTAAATTTTTGAAGTTCAAAGAAGATGTATGAAGCGGGGGGTGATCCTCAAGTGTACAGAACAACATGCATTGACATTTTTGAAGGAATGGCTCCCAAAAATCTGAAAACTGATTTATTTATACGCACATGTGCATTGTATAATAACATTGAAACCATGTTCAGACAAGGAATTGTATGTGTAGTTTCAGTAATTATATGTAATCTATACCATTTATTAATATTTAGTGTCATTGATGTTATATATTGATATTGTTTTTTTGTCAACAGGATGAGTGCTTTTATTATGGCAATTTTAGGATTGACTTTGTTGAGACAAGCAGCAGATGAAGATCATCTTCAGGCAATTTATTTGCTTGGAATGATCTACATTTCAAGAGGGCCTCATCAATGTGATGTAGGTATGTATATATGGTATATATGTAAATTAAATTATATATATAGTTAATTAAGGCATGTTTGTAGTTTGGGGTTATTATTTAGTTGTGTAGTGTTGTATAATATTTACTGTTGTATTGAAAAGGATACATTGGATTAATTGATGGATATTTTAATGTGTAGGTTTACAATTACTTGATGCCTATTTTGGTTGGGCAGTTCCGGATGATGGGGAGTACACGGGTGTTGTTGATAGTGCCAAAGAGTTGTTGTGGGCTGTTGATGTTGTTCATAGACTTACAACGAATAACATCACATTCCAATGTGAAGACTCACATCATTCTGTTAAAGGTGCATTTGCAATAGGCCATGAAGAGCATGAGGATCGACAAAGATATTGCATGGTTTGTCGTTGGTATGTAGATTGGACATTTAATATTTGTGTTCATATTGTATTATATATGAAGTTGTATACTACTATAATTTTATTTTAGTTGTATGTTTACATCATTCTGTTAAAAGGGCATTTTAGTCATTTTTGCTTGCTATGTTGTTTGAGTAGGATGAAATATACATAAAACCCATATTATTTTTGTGATGAAGTATAGTTAATGGAATTAAAAATAAGTTTGTAATGAATTCGTTATTAAGGAAAATAATCTACACAGATTATATACTTTAACATGCCCGGTTTTAAGGGTGTGCAAGTGGTGCAACCGCACAGGCCCCGGAAAAAATAGGGCCCGAGTTCTAATAAAATTATATGGTTAATTAGTCATTTTATACTATGTTTTTCAAGAAATTATACACAACTTGATTAGCACAACTGGCTTAATCGCGCCCTTTTCTAGCATAAGCTTAAGTTCGAGTCCGCTTGCCAGCAATATTTACTCTTATAATTCATTTTTACATTTTTAGCCATTAGTTTATGCCACATATTACCAATTCAAAAACATTTCATTCAAACCATATCTTACAAATTCCATTGATCATAATAATAATTCATCCATAGAATAAGAAAATTAATTAAGCATACAACATCCCAACAAATGCCGTCACAAATTAGCTACGCGTTTTGTTCCATAGCAAAACAAGCAAACAAAATCATATTCCATAGCAGAATTCCCTAGCAAAATACCTACGAATGATACTTACATAGCAAATCAACTATGGAGTTGGTTTCCGTCACAAACTCCGTTGCATAGTAACCACAATAATTAACTCCATAGCAGCAGTACAACGGAAAGTGATTTCGTAGCAAATGTCGTTGGAAAATTGCTACAAATTTTTGCTCCATAGAACTATCGGTAGCATAATACAACCGGATATGGAGTCGGTAGCCTTTTCCCTAGCAAGTCCCATTCTCGCTACCAGAAATAAAATCCGTAGACAATGTGGTAGCAACATTGCTATGGAACGACATTCCATAGCACGATCCATTGCATATTAAAAATGAAAATATGTTCCATAGCGACCATCCCTAGCAAAATCGCGTTTTTCTTGTAGTGATAAAAGGTTGATTGCCTGAGATTGTCAGGAGGAGCTGTGGTGGCGCCTGCTCCAGCCACATTGAGGATTACTGATGGCCGCCAGGGCAAGGTGGAGGCTCCTGTGGTTACGGGTATGTGTCTTATCTCCATCTTTTATTGATTTCTTTTTTTTCATGCTCATATTTATGCTCAATTTTGTATAGGGACCTTTTTGGTTAATGGTTTGACCGCTCATGTTTTGTTTGATTCGAGGGCTACCTGATCCTTTGTATCTCTTTCACTCAGCAAGAAATTTTATGCTGCTCCTGGGATTTTGGATTCCCTTCTAGAGGTTGAGATTGCAGATGACCGCATCGTGAGAGCTTTGAGGATTCACCAGGGGTGTTTCCTGAACTTGTTTAGTGAGAGATTCTCTATTAATATAGTGTAGATTCCCTTGAGAGGATCGAAGGTCATCATCGGGATGGATTGGTTGGTCCCCAAT